CTTCTTTTCCTTCCTAGATTGTTTTCGTGAATGAGCATATTCGTGAGTTTAGAAATGACGTCGTGCTTATCATCACCATCTCCCTTTTTCACTTTGTAAAGCATTTTTCATAGAGAAGATTCTTGGGCCGTCGCCATCACTGTTATCCTTTCACAGTCCTTTGGTCACAACATATTCAAAAAGAAAAGGAGTTTCGTTGAAGCTCTTAATGGATTCAAATTTTTATAACCTTAATTTAGCTAAAATATGAAATGATTTGATTCATTAATTGCTTTCATCGCGATCCGAGAGAGGATTGCCATGGAGTTTGAAAGATCAGCATTAATTCATCGGGTTTGTACCGAGAAGTCTTTCGCACAAATCCAGAGTCACAACTCCAAGGCAATCCTAGGGTTTATGATTCAGTCAATTTAATAATCGACTTCACGCGCCTTTTCGAACCAAATGAGACGTTTGCTAACATTGACTGATTATTGATGTCTAAGCTTTCCTGATGCTACAACTTTAGTATCATTTCAGGCTATAGATTGGCTATGAATTATAACTTTTGATATAATTTTCATATTTTTAGTATATAAGTAGAGTAAATCAGTAATATGAGATGTATGCACCCTATTTTGTTTAAGGTAATGAAAGAATGGTATTAGAATATACGAAAAATAAGTATTGTAGTCGATTGTTAGAGCAAAAATACGTTTGTTTCATCGACAATCCCAGCAAAGAATGTGGCGAAGTCGAAACTGCAGTCCACCCCGGATGAGAACAACTTTTGGCAAAGCAAGGCTCTGTGAAATTCAATGGAAACGTCAGCGCTGCTTCTGTCATTGTGGGAAAATTCTACTACGAAATAGGGTGAATACATTTCATATAATGTTCATAGTTCGGCTTCTTTTGCCCAAACACTCGTCTCCGGTCTAGTTGACCCTATTTCAGGACCATCTGAGATTCACGCAAGCGAGTTCGTGAAGATCGTGGCTCATAAACTTTCCTAGTACATTTCTACTATGATCTGCGGAGTAAGAAGCCTAGCTCGTCTTGAAAATCTCTTCGGTCCCGTACACCACTGGTAGCCGTGATTCCATAGCTTTGTCATCGATCGTTATACCCATTTACAATCCCAGGCAAAGTCGGCAATTCAGTTCAGCTCGAGTGATGAAGCCCTTTTGGTGTAAAATAAATAAACTTTTATAACATTGTGGGGCTTTCTACTCATTTCATTTTGGTCAATTCAACCAGCCTTCCATGCATCACTTCGGTCGACCTATCTCGTGTCGTAGGCTCGTAGTTTAGCACGACATAATCGGCAAAAAAGACCACACCATCTTGGTCCTTATAACTTCGATTAATCTATGGAAGTAAGATTGCCAAACAATGCACTAATTACAGCCGAACAAAGATGACAATTTGTAAGCCAATCCTGCCATTTGGCCTTTTTAAATTGTTGCTAACTTTATCGCTTCCCGATTGTGAAATTTAATGAAGTATGATTCGCATACAGTTAATGAAATACTTTATTACGCCTCCATCCAGAAATTAGAGAAAAGTTACGAGACTGAGAGGCGGAAGCTATTTAAGTGCATAGATCTCAAGTCTAGATTAAGGAAGGATCTAGGTGGGTTTCTCACTTTGGATGTTTTTCAAAAAAAAACTCTAGAGAATAACAGACCAGAAGTCACAGAGGCTTCGGGATCTGATAAATAAGAGGCATGACACGAAATTGCTTAGCTATGGGATAATAAGACAGAGCAAGTCCAAGCCGACCCGGACAAATTTTTATGGTTCTTTAGGAATAGAGACAGGATAGACGAGGCGGCGATTGGAGTTAGTTGGCTGACATTAGGTTTTACAAGAGACGTGGTCCATGTGGCAAAGGCGTGACCATTAGACTTACCATGAGGCTTGAGCCCCGAATTAGTCACCCAGGTGCAAGTGATGGACGAATTACGTCTCGAATAGCACAGAT